CCCCCCAAAAAAAAAACCCGGGGGGGGAAAAAAAAAAAAAAATTTTTTTAAAAAAATTCCCCCCTTTTTTGGGGAAAATTTTTTTAAAAAAAAGGGGCCCAAAAAAGGGGGGGGGAAAAAAAACCCCTTTTGGGGGGAAAAAAATTTTGGGGCCCAAATTTTTAAAAATTTTCCTTTTGGGTTTTTTCCCCCCCTTTAAAAAATTTGGAATTAAGGTTTCCCCCCCCAAAAAATTTTTTTTTTTAAAAAAGGGGGGGGCCCCCCCCCAAAAAAAAAACCCCAAAATTAGGGGGTTTTTGGGGGAAAAAAAATTTTTTTTGGGGGCCCGGGGGGTTTTTTAAAAAAAAAAAGGGGGGTTTGAAAAAAACCCCCCCCGGGGGGGGGGGAAACCCCCCCCCAAAAATTTTCCGGCGGGGGCCCTTCCCAAAGGAAAAACCCCCGGGCCCCAAAAATTTTTTGGGGAAAGGGGGTTTTTTGGGGGGGTTTTTTTTTTGGTTTTTTTTTCCCCAAAAAACCCCCCCGGGGGGGGGGGAAAATTTGGTTTAAAAAAGGCCCCCTTTTTTCCCCCCCCCCTTTTTTAAAAAAAAAACCCCCCCCCCAAAATTTCTGCCTTTTTCCCAAAAAAAAAAACCCCCCCCAACCTTTTTAAACCCCCCCTTTCCCCCCTTTTTTTTTTTGGCCCAAAAAAAGGGCCCTTTTTTCCAAAAACCCCCCCTTTGGGGGGAAAAAAATTTTTTTAAAAAAAATTTTTTTTTAAAAAATTTTTTTTTTTTTTTTTTCCCCCCCCAAAAAAAAAAAAAATTAAAGGGGGCCCCCTTCCCCCGGGCCCCCCCCCCCTTTTTTAAAAAAAAAAAAAAAACCCCCTTTTTTCCCCCCAAACCCCCCCCCCCCCCTTTTTTCCCCCCCCCCCCCCCCCAAAAAAGGCCCCCCCCCCCCTTTTTTTTTTTCCCCCCCCCCCCCCCCCAAAAATTTTTTAAAAACCCCCCCCCAAAAAACCCAAAAAACCCCCCTTTTTTAACCCCCCCCCAAAAAAAAACCCCCCCCCCCCAAAAACCCCAAAAAAACCCCCCCCCTTTTTCCCCTTCCCCAAATTTTTTCCCCCCCCCCGGGCCCCCCCCTTTTTTTCCCCCCCAAAAACCGGGGGGCCCCCCCCCCCCCGAATTTTCCCCCCCCCCCCCCCTTTTTAAAAATAAAACCCCCCAAAATTATTTCCCCCCCAAAAAAAAAACCCCAAATCCCCCCAAAAAAAAACCCCCCCCAAACCCCCCCCCCCCTTTTCCTCTTTTCCCCCTTTCCTTCCCCGGGCCCCCCCCCCCCCCCCACCTTTTAACCCTCCCCAACCCTTAAAACCCCTCCCCCAACCCTTTTTTTAAACCCCCCCCCATTTCCAAAGGAAACCCCCCCCCAAAAGGGGCCCCCCCCCTTTTTTCCCCCCCCCCCCCAACCCCCCCCCCAAAACCCCCCCCTTTTTTCCCCCAAAAAAACCCCCCCCCCGGGGCCCCCCCTTTTTTTTTTTTTTTTTTTTTTTTTTTTTAAAAAGGGGGGTTTTTTTAATAAAAAAAAAAAAAAAAAAAGTTTTTTCCTTTTTTTTTTGGGGGAAAAATTTTTTTTTTTTTTTAAAAAAATAAAATTTTTTTTTTCCAATTTTTAATTTTAAATTTTCCAAAATTTTTAAAAAAAAAAGGGGGTCATTAAAAAAATTTTTAAAAAATTTTTAAAAAATTTTAAAAAAAAAAAAAAAAACCCAAAAAAAAAAATTTTTTTTGGGGGGGGGAAAAAAAATTTTAAAAAATTTTAAAAAAAAAAAAAAAAAGGGGGGGTTTTTTTAAAATTTAAAAAAAAGGGGGAAATTTTTAAAAGAAAAAAAAAAAAAAAGGTTTTTAAACTGCTGTCTTCTTTTTTTTTTTTTTATTTTGTTCACAGTTAGAGAGATTTAGTAAAACCGGAGAGTGAAAAATATGACGCATAAAAACCAATCAGCTTCCATTTTTTATTGTCAAAGCTTAATTGAAGAAGCTGAAGTTAGAAGCTGATTGGCAACCATGCCATGCACCAAATTCTAAGTCCAGTCCAGTTTTAGTAAATCTCCCCCCAGTAACTCTCAAAATTAGCTTTGAAATTAGGACTGGGATTTCAGAGTTAATATATATATATATATATATATATATATATATATATATATGTATATAAATACACATACATACACTGCTCAGCATAAATGAGTACACCCCAACAGATTTGTCAGGAGACCTTTACTTTCCTTTCAAAATCAACATTTTTTTTATGGGACACTATACTACAAAATACTTCCACAAATGCGGGCCATTGATTGCAAACAAGATTTGTTAATTTGCACACACAAAAAAGTGTTTTTCCTAACAAATTCATTCAAGATCATGTTGTAGAAATGAATACACCCCAATGAAAGTCTTAGAGGCAAAGATGAAATTTTAGACAACAAAATCCTAAATAACCGCTTTCTCGCCACCCTATAGTAGAAGTACTGCTACAGGGCGGCAGGACTGCTCAAAATCACGTACAGTATATACATGATTTATATTTCTGGATAGGGGGCGCACGCACGCCATTGGCAGCTACGGATGTCAATCACCGGGTTCTGGCTGGAGATTCCCCGTTGGCATCCAGCGATTGCGGAGTAAAACTGACAGGGGAGAGATCTGTGTGCACAGCTGAGAAATACACAGCAGCATGTTACCCTAGTAAAACACATACAGCACACTCAGCAAAACAGCATACAGTTAACCCTTTCATCGTCCCGATGTTAACCTCTTCCTGTCCAGTGTCATTAGTACAATGTCAGTGGCAGTGCTTTTTATTAGCACTGATCACTGTATTAGTGTCATTGGGATGTTAGTGGCAGTTAGTCAGTTCCATCCTAGTGTCAGAATGCCTGCCGCAGTCCCACTATAACCACCAAAAGCAAGCTCTATTTGTGGGAAAAGATGACATAAATGTCATTTATGTACAGTGTTGCATGACTGCGCAATTGTCAGTTAAAGTAATGCAGCACCGTATCACAAAAAATGGCCTGGTCAGGAAGGGGGATAAATCCTCTGGAGGGCAAGTGGTTAACAAAAATTCAACTACAGGTATTTCTAAGTATTTATTAAACAGGTGTCCAGCAGACAGTCGAATATAAAAGGGCATTACTTAACAAAGAGAACCTCTTCTCATTTTATGCTGTCAGCAATGGGCATCACATGGAAGAGAAATGTCACAAGGCTTGAGAAAGAAAATAATTTCTTTACTCAAGAAAGGTGAAGACTACAAGAAGATCAGCAAAGCTTTAGTTATCAGTCAGAATAATGTAGCAAAAGTGATACAAACATTTAAGAAAGATGGAACTGCAACCATCTCACAGAGATGTCTAGGCCGTCTATGGAAGTTAACACCTCGACAGGCGCATTTTCAGGTGAGAAAGGTGAAAGAAAATTGCCATGCAAGTTCACTTCAGTTAGCTAAAGAAGTAGAAAGCCAAACTGGGGTGATTTCCCTTGACACAATACGAAGTACACTGCAGAGGAATGGCATGCATGGGTGTTGTCCATGAAGGAATTCTCTCCTAAAGCCCATGCACAAAAAAGCCTGTAAAGTATAGCATTGAAAAGTGACACTCCGCAAACAATGCTCAGCATTTTAATATCTGTAATGCACGAGATACTGTACATCTGCAGTTATTGTCATTGAGAAAACATATACTTATAAAAGAGGCTGAGATGTGTTTTGCCTTCTATGCAGGAGGGATTTTTTTTTCCTTTTTTTCATCTCCAAACCTGCATCCCTGGAGGACTCAAATTTGAGTGGGAGGTCACTCATTTTTAAAAGTGACTAGAGGTCTCCCTCCTGCATGGCTCTCGATTTTCACTGGTCTGCAAATATAATGTGTTTATTGTGCCTTTCTGTTCCCCCTCCCTGATTTGGGATCATTGATCAATGGATCAAATGTGTTTAATTAATATACAAATTTTGGTTGTTATTGCATTTATGTTACTTGTGTTTTTTGTTGAGTTTTTCTTTTTTCATTCTCTATTTAATTGGAAACTTTTTTGTATGGTTTTACTTAATATAACAATGGGCTTTGATATGGTCTGTGATGGTGCTTGTCAAATAGGGGTTAATTGAGTTGATTGGTTCTGCTACTGAACAGGTGTGAACCTGGTTTGTTATCAGAGGACCACTTAACAGCCCCTTGCTATGGTTAAGCACTATGTTCTGTGAAACACATTGATTTATTATCTTTTGGAATAAAGAAGCATAGTACTGCATCCCACTGTGGTGTGTGGCCATTTCTTCTCATTTTCCTAGTTAAAGTATACTGATTAGCACAAGTTATGTTGAGTCAGTGAAATCCTATACTTATTAGTGACTGCTCTGTTACCAGCATGGCTTCTCTAGAAACCTAAGAAAGTTTGATGTTTTGGCAATAATGTTTTATACACTATATTGTCAAAAGTATTGGAATGCCTAACTTGACTTTACATGAAGATGAACTTTAATGGCATCCCAGTCTTAGTCTGTAGTGTTCAATATTGAGTTGGCCCACCCTTTGCAGCTATAACAGCTTCAACTCATCTGGGAAGGCTGTCCACAAGGTTTAGGAGTGTGTCTATGGGAATGTTTGACCATTATTCCAGAAGCGCATTTGTGAGGTCAAGCACTGATGTAGGACGAGAAGGTCTGGCTCGCAGACTCCGCTCTAATACATCCCAAAGGTGTTCTATTGGGTTGAGGTCAGGACTCTGTGCAGGCCAGTCAAGTCCCTTCACCCTAAACTCGCTCATCCAAATCTTTATGGGCCTTGCTTTGTGCACTGGTGTGCAGTCATGTTGAAACAAGAAGGGGCCATCCCCAAACAGTTCCCACAATGTTAGGAGCATGAAATTGTCCAAAATGTCTTGGTATACTGACGCCTTAAGAGTTCCCTTCAAGCCCAACCCCTGAAAAACAACCCCACACCATAATCCCCCCTCCACCAAACCTTATGCTTGGCACAACGCATTCAAGCAAGTACCATTCTACTGGTAACCACCAAACCCAGATGCGCCCATTAGATTGCCAGACAGAGCAGCATAATTTGTCACTCCAGAGAACATGTCTCTAGTGCTCTAGAGTCCAGTGGCGGCTCACTGCATCCAGCGCTCTGCATGGCACTTGGTGATGTAAGGCTTGGATGCAGCTGCTCAGCCATGGAAACCCATTCCATGAAACTCTCTATGCACTGTTGTTGTGCTAATCTGAAGGCCACATGAAGTTTGGAGGTCTTTAGCTATTGACTCTGCAGACAGTTGACGAATTCTGTGCACTGCACGCTTCAGCATGCCTTGAGCCCGCTCTGTCCTTTTACATTGCCATTTGCTGTTGTTCCCAGTTGCTTCCACTTTGTTATAATACCACTAACAGTTGACTGTGGAATATTCAGTAGCAAAGAAATTTCACGGATGGACTTATAGCACAGGTGGCAACCTATCATGGTACAATGCTTGAATTCACTGACCCATTCTTTCACAAATGTTTGTAGTTGCATTCATAGGTGCTTGATTTTATACACCTGTAGCCATGGATGTGATTGGAACACCTGAATCCAATGATTTGGAGGGGTGCCCCAATACTTTTGGCAATATGGTGTGTATATATATATATATATATATATATATATATATATATATATATATGTATATATATATATATTGCTCAGCATAAATGAGTACATCCCTTTTGAAAAGTAAGATTTTAATTAATATCTCACTGCACACAAGAGCAATTTCCAACATTTTGACAAAACTGAGTTTTATGGAACATTTGTTTATCTCATTACATGAAATTGAGGTTAATATAACTTAAATGACAAATGTTCAGTTTTACTCAAATTAATGATGCAAAAATGAGTACACCACACAACAAAAACTACTAAATCTAGTATTTTGTTTGGCCTCCATAATTTTTAAGGACAGCACCAAGTCTTCTAGGCATAGAAGTTGGCGACATATTGCAATATCTATCTTTTTCCATTCTTAAGAACAACTTCTTTTAGAGCCTGGATACTGGATGGAGAGTGATGCTCAACGTGTCTCTTCAGTGTCTCTTCTCAGAATTCCCCATAAGTGTTTGATTGGGTTCAGATAAGGAGAAATATTTGGTCACTGAATGCTTTCACCTTGTTCTTCAGAAATGCAACAGTGGCCTTAGATGTGTGTTTTTGGATTGTCATGCTGGAAAAGTGCACAACAATCAAGGGCACGGAGTGATGGTAGCATCTTCTCTTTTATTTAGAGCAGTACATCTTTGAATTCATGATACCATCAATGAAATGCAGCTCCCCGACTCCAGCAGCACTCATGCAGCCCCACAGAAGGACACTGCCACCACCATGTTTAACTGTCGGCACCATGCATTATTCTTTGTACTCCTCACCTTTGCAATGCCATACAGTTTTGAATCCATCAGTTCCAAAAACATTTACCTTGGTCTCATCACTCCAGAGTACAGAGTCCTAGTAGTCTTCTTCTTTTTCAGCATAGTCCCTGGAAAATTCTAGGCGGGTGTTTTTGCATATGGGCTTTAGCAGAGGCTTCCTTCATGGACGACACCCATGCATGCCATTCCTCTGCATTGTACACCGTATTGTGTCACAGGAAACACCCAGTTTGGCTTTCTACTTCTTTAGCTAACTGCAATGAACTTGCATGGCGATTTTCTTCAACTCTTCTAATCAGAAGATGTGCCTGTCGAGGTGTTAACTTCCGTGGACAGCCTGGATGTCTCTGTGAGATGGTTGCAGTTCCATCATTGTTAAATTTTTGTATCACTTTTGCTACAGTATTCCGACTGATAAGTAAAGATTTGATGATCTTCTTGTAGCCTTCATCTTTCTTGTGTAAATAAATTATTTTCTTTCCCAGGCCTTGTGATATTTCTCTTCCCTGTGATGCCATTGCTGACAACATGAAATGGAAAGGGGTTTTCTTTGTTAAGTAACGCTCTTTTATAATCAGTTGTCTGCTGGACACCTGTTTAATGAATACGTAGACTCACTTGTAGCTGAATTCTTGTTAATTAGGATTTTGTTGTATAAAATTTAGCTTTAGCTATATCGAATACAAAAAATTTAATATCGCTAGATTTTGAGCTTCCTTGGTGAAGGTATTATCACGGCAGTTAACGGGATATTGTAGTCACTTTACATCTGGTATAGGAGGGTATGGTTTACTCACATAAACATAGGCTTTGCTCCTAAGACTTTCTTTGGGGTGTAGTCATTTTTGCAACATGGTCTTGAATGAATTTGTTAGGAAAAATAATTTTTTGCATGTGCAAATTAACCAATCTTGTTTGCAATCAATGGCTCGCATTTGTGGGAGTATTTTGTAGTATAGTGTCCCAAAGAAAATGTTGATTCTGAAAGGAAAGTAAAGGTTTTCTGACAGATCTGTTGGGGTGTACTCATTTATGCTGAGCACTGTATATACAGAGTATGTATAGTTCTTTGAGAGGAGTAGTCCCTTTTCCAGCTTCCAGAGACTACTAGTAGTTAAAATATGATTTGCTGCAAACTGTATGCTAAGCCAGCTAAGTTCCACCTTGGTTACACAAATTGTGAAGGTCTATGCCTTCAGGCAAATAACAAATAAACAGAGATGAGTTGTACATTACAAAATGAAATACTGAAATAAGAAATAAAAAAATTCAGCCAAGTTCAAAAGTGTTTTGTTTTGTGTTGAATAGAATGAGTAGATTTAAAACATCTGTCTGGTATGTATTATTGTCTGTATGTGCACCACGCAGATTTTACTGCACTTCCTTCCCCCAGAGATGCAACAGGAAATAAGGGGGACTTCCCCCAAAGGGGGGGGGGGGGCAATCCAAACTCTGACATTTGTCTGTGCAACAAGTGTTTTCACTGGAAGATAGATATTCCCTCTGCACACGTCCTCCGAGAACCAAAACCTTCTAGATTTCCCTAATTTTCCTTTTCAGTGACAGTAATCTCCAGAACAAAAATAGTTAGGTTAGCTCTCCCCAGAAGGGTCACATAATTTAAAAACCAGGCAGGGGCTCTAACCCTCTACACTCTATCCAAAACAGAACAGTACTAGAAAAATATATTTTTTTGCATATTATTAGTTAACTAAAATATAAATATTGCATTTTTTTATGAATCAAGTCCTAGTAATTACCAAGCTACAGTAAATAGGCGAAGCCTGAATAACACACACCCAGATTACACGCACAGCTAATTTGAGCATATTAAAATGAAAAATATTAGATACTGTAAAAGGATAAATCCTGTAAGTTATGGTGAGGCGTCCTATAAGGCATTATGCGGGCTTCTGTACCAGTCAACACTAATTACCCAAACTAGAATTCACAAACTTTTTTTATACTTAGTTTCCCAGCCAATGGTTTACTCATAAACAGAAATAATGGGCAGGGGGTTGATTTAAAAACCGGAGAGGGCAAAATCTGGTGCAGCTCTGCATAGAAATCAATCAGCTTCCGGGCCTTTTTCTTTTTTTGTCAAAGCTTATTTAAACACACTGAAGTTAGAAGCTAATTGGCTACCATGCACAACTGCCCCAGATTTTGCACTCCAGCTTTAGTAAATCAACCCCATGGCCTTTTACCAGCCAATGTATGACAGATATGGACCTGACAGTCTATATCTGTCTTACATTAAATAGTACGGTCTTGCTTGTAATCGGGTATTCAGAGGACAAAGGGAAAAAGAAGAAACCTACACAGATGGGTTTTATAAATTGTTTTTAGGTATTTACCTAAAAATATAAAGAATAAAAACATCCAGATCAACTGGCAGAGTAGTTTACAAAAGCACAGTAATGATTTATAGGCAATCCCTGCTTCTCCTTTCACAGGTATCAAACATCTTTGATAGGGCACAATTATTTGACTGGGGAATGTGCAGCAGTCCTTAGCATGGTAGCAGTTATTAATAAGTTAATAGAGTGGTATTCTGCTTAATCACAGGTTTTTTTGTACATAAGTGTATGACTAGCACTAAGCAGTTTGTCACAGATAGCAACTCAAAATTTCTAGGGAAGCACATCTAATGGTACTTTACTCTCTAACTACAAGGAAGTACAATTTTCTGTGGCAAAAGGGAAGGCCATCTAATAAACAGTAAGTGAATTCAAACATGCTTGGGAAAAACATAGATCTATACTCAGACAATGAAAAAGGAAAATTAAAAGTACATACGATATTAGCTACTGAATGTGCCCATTGATTCTGTGATAGCTTTATCAATATTTTCACGCAAATTTTTTTTATGATTTTTCATGCTTTATTTTCTTAAGACAAAACAATGTTTTTTTCTAGTTTTGAAAATAATGTTACTTTAGAGAAGGGCATTCTTTCTGTTTTCCCTTGTTCAGAATGACCAAAAAATTTCTGGTTCAAAGCATCTGGATGCTTTGGTATATATCAACAGGATGTTAATTACTGCTGACATGTGTTAACCAACTAAAATGCAGGTCCAGCCATTACCCAAAAATACTTGAAAACCTCCTGCTTGCCCACTAGAGCGTGTCCCTTGTTTTCTTTTTCTTTTACCTTGTTCCTGTAGTGAATAACAGCTTTTAATTCCCCTGTGATATCATCTCCAGGTGTGTATAATTGGTGACGGGGTCTTTGATGAGTGTTCATTTCCTTACTTTAAAAGCTGGTTATAGACTAGTCAAATATGAAATGTCATTCTATAAAGACACCCAAATGTTCGACAAGTCTTTCAGCAAATGTAGCACTATCCTAGATAGGTGCTAGATTAGGTAAATTTAGTTATTGGCTCACTGTAATCAGTGCGATTGTCTTGGTCTGTTCTGTGGTTCACTGGCTGCAAGGTTGGCTGTTCCTCCTGTCTGTCTGGAGAGTTCTGGAAGTTAGTGGGCTAGGAGAGTCAAATCAGCAACTGGATATTTATGCAGCCCTAACCAATCCCTGGAGAGTGGTGCCCAGATGGTGGCTGGATGGGAGCCTAAATAGCTTGGAACAGACATGCTCTTGTCTTGGAGAAGGATATCCTAACCTGGAGGGCTGCTGCTTTTCTGGGGAGACAGGCCATGGTTCTCATTGAGGTAATTGTTCTCATTGCTCATTGAGGTCCCAACTATGCAAGCTGGGGGGCTTATTCTGCTGAAATGTGCGGGAATTGACTGAAGGACTTGCTTGTGGGGATTTGGTCTGAAGGATTTACAGGAGAGGTGCCTGAAAGATATTGGAAGAAGGCATCCAATTATCCAAGAACATTAGTGAATACAGACCAATGTGAAAGATCCCAGTGACTGTGTGCTGCTATTAACCCTCTTGTACTAGAGTCAGCATTACCTAAAGGAACATTGTATTTGGTGTATCAGTATAGCTCAGCCCAATATTTGCTGCTATAATGACTGTGCTCAAATTCTTAGGTGGAAGATTAGTGTCCTCAAGTTACTGCCTAACGTTTTTGGAGTATCCCACAGATAACCTACACCCTACACCCATCCAAGCTCAACTTCTGCAATAAAGCATTAGAAAAGCATACCCCTAGACTAGGGTTTCTCAACTAGGGTTCCTCCAGAGGTTGCTAGGGGTTCCTTGAGCAAACAGCAATTTCTGCCTCTCAGAGAGGTTCCTACTGACACTGTTGGTCTTTTTAGCTATCTGTAAGGGGCTAATTCTTCCCAATGACTACAAGTGTAAGGAGCATTCTTTTAACTGACCATCACACTAATGTATGAGTTGTAGATATAGTCATTTTTAGCAGGGGTTCCCTGAGCCCAGAAAGTTATTTCAATTGTTCCTCTGTGATTACTGAGCCAAAGAAGTGGCTATGACTGTGTGCCTGACTGTTGGTGCATCTACTGGGAAAGAACTCTGGGACCTAAACAGCTTGTTTCTTTGGGGGTGAGCACTACATCAAAAAATTTAAATCCCTCAAAATATCCACTGATTTTCTTAAAAAAAAAAAAACCCCAAATACTTGGCATACATGACCAATCCCGACTTTACCATTAGCCAAATGGCAGCTCTCCGAGCTGTCAACAGACAAACAATTGAGGGATTGTCTGAATGCCTAAACAGCTGAACCATCAGCTCATCCCTAGTTGGGAGCTAAAATTAGGAAAAATACTGGTCTAGCACCAGTTATTTGCAAATGGGCGCAACTAAAACCTTTGTTTTTAAGATAAATTGTTAAGAACAGTTTAGACTTTGTTTACGCGCTAGTTATCTGACACATGTGCTGGGGAATTTTGTATTTCTCAGTTCCTATTGAGCAAGACACACCATCCATAACTACATCACCCAAGAGATCTATCCCGGTGTTGGCAGGCTCTTGTGAACCAAGGCAGCAGCATTGTGTTCCTGGAAAAAAAAAAAAATCAATATATGTACATAGCATGGGGCAAAAGGAGCAGGGGATATGCAGAGTTCTGTTGTTCAGCAGGCAGGGTTGACAATGTTGGTTGGTTAGGATTTCAGAGCAGCAAAGGCACTTTGTTGTCAGCCCCTGGCACATCAGCATGTGTTTTTCTGTACTTGCAATGATTTTGAAGGGATAAATATAGGGAAATGTGCATGAATTGGAAAAATGTACTTAATATGTTTTTAGGGTGCCCTGACATACACTTTAATAAATTAAATGTAAGTTCATTTTGTACAAAAACAAAACCTAGAGATGGTTCATTATAAACAACCCCCTGTAAATATTGTTTTTACAGTAATTTCCCTGTATAGTAAGTCTTTCAAATGAATATTGATTTCTCACACGTACATAAATCACATTCTTGAGTTTATAGCTTCATTCAGGGTCACTAGGGTAGGGATTCACATCTACGTTATCTGTACTTAAATAAGTAATCAACATTGCATCTTACTGTTGTCTGGAATAGGTACTGATTAAAATGATACGATGACATGTGAAGGATGCTTTTGAACCTCTTTTCTCCTCTCAAATTACTCATAGACTTAAGATAACATCCTGAAGAAACAGACAATGTCTACCTGAATGTTCTTATATATGATTTTTTTTAAAGACCAGTGTGCCATCCTTTTTTTTTAGTCAAAGTATCACAGTTTCTCCATCTTAAAAAAAGTGTAAATAAAAACATAGCCTGTAAGATGTAACTTGCCATTCCTACCACCAAAGACTCTTTACTCTCTTTCAGAACTACACCAACCACTGGAATTGTCAGCATCATGTCCACAAGTCCACGTGTCAGATATGTGCATCTCCTGCTACACATTGTGGCTGTGGTACGATTCAGGCATCCAACATACTTGGAAATAATATTCTCTGCCTTGATGGAATCAGCATGTGTTTTTCTGTACTTGCAATGATTTTGAAGGGATAAAATATAGGGATGGAATGTTTCTTCCTCACATCTATATACATATGCAGGCGTGGAAGCAATGCAAAATAGACATGGAAATTTATCCAGCTATTCACAAGACCTACTAGGCTTTAGTCACAGGAAAAAAAACTACATTTGGTTTGGACTCACCTACAAGCATGACTCCATGAAGATTGTTATAACTAATACTAATGAGATTGTGTGAACCTAAAGTGAAACTGAGCTGGAAACTGAGCCCCCCCCCCTACGTCTCCCCGCAGTCTTCTGGGACATTTCACAGGTCTCAGATGACCATTCAGGAGGTGCAGCACTACTTGTGCATGCACAGTGGGCACCCAGCTATGAAGCTGCAAGCTGTCACAGCAGGGTGCCCACAGCTGAGATGCCGGTGCTAGGAAGAGAAGAGGGAAAGAAGGGATGGCTCGGGTAAGCACATCACTGGATCGTGGGACAGGTGAGTGTGTGTTTAGCTACAGTTTTTGACTAGAGCTCCTCTTTAACCACTTGCCCTCCTGAGGATTTACCCCCGTTCATGACCAGGCCATGTTTTTACATTACAGCGCTGCGTTACTTTAACTGACAATTGCGTAATCATGCAGCGCTGCACCCAAATGACATTTATGTCCTTTTTCCCCATGAATTGAGCTTTCTTTCAATGGTATTTGATCGCCTGTGTGGTTTTTATTTTTTGTGCTATCAGCAAAAAAAGACTGACAATTTTGAGGAAAAAAAAAACAATACTTTTGACTTTTTTCTATTAAACATGTCCAGTAAACAAGTAATTAAACAATCTAAATTTAGGCCAAAATGTATTCTGCTACATTCTTTGCTAAACAAAAAATCCCATTACGTGTAAATTAATTGGTTTATGTGAAAGTTATAGCGTTTACAAATGGCGGTATATATACTGGATTTTTTTTTTTTTACTAGTAATGGCGGCGATCAGCGACATATAGTGGGACTGCGGCAGACATTCTGACACTGGGGGGAACTGACTTGGTGTCAATGACATCCCCAGTGACACCAATACAGTGATCAGTGCTAAAAAAAAGCACTGACACTGTACTAATGACACTGGGCAGGAAGGGCTTAATGTGAGGGGTGATCAAAGGGTTAACTGTGTGGTGGGAGTGTTTTACTAAGGGGCGGGGGGGTGTTCTTCACTGTAAGCACACTGATCGGGATGGCTGTACTGTGCACAGCCATCCTGAGCAGTGTGCTCAAGCTGACAGGGAGGAAGTTTGTTTGTAAACAAAACAATCTTCCTTCCCGTTTCAGATGCTCGGTAATCACCAGGCGCCGGTGGGTAATTACCATCTGGGACCCGGTGATTGCCATGCATGGCCGCGAATGGTGGGACGGGTAGGGTGCTCGTGCGCTCCCCCTACCTAGAAATGCATGATGACGTATATATACGTGATCCTGCGCACAGGTGCTGCCCTGTAGCAGTATATCTGCTATAGGGCAGTCCTAAAGCGGTAAAAGACCAACATCCTCCAGATTTTTCTAGAGCTCTGAAATCTACCTCTGTATACAAGCTCCATGGTCCCTAACAAGACATTTTCCTCCTGGTATGAGATGAAACAAACCATTAAAGTGGTAGTAAACCGCGGCCTTTAAAAAAACAAACAAACTGCAAGATAATGGCACATTATGGAGTACTTACCTTCTTTCCGGGTTGACGTGCTCCAGCCTTTTGACTGGCCGAGCAGTGATGATGTCACTTCCGCACATGCACGTGGGAGTTTCAGCAGCAGTATGGAGCTATGAAGGGATGGCACAGGTATGCTGTCCCTTCAGAGCGCATGCCCAGGTGACATCACCAGCTGCATGCAGTGTGAATATTTCCTAAACCATTCACTGTATCCACAGCTAAGCTTTATTATAGGCTTACCCGTAGGTACAAGTTAGAAAAAAAGACTTTACTTCCACTTTATACTGGAATTTATTGTAGACATGTAAAAATATCAATGCTCCTGTAGACATTTGTGTATGCAGAAAATAGGGAGGTCTGGGACATGATTAAATAAAATACTTAATCACATGCATTTAATGCTTTACATATATCTTTTTAATAATGTATGTATATTTGGATGTCACCTTTGTTTATAGATATATTTATCCTTGTATACAGCATGTCAATAAGGCAAACTTTGTATTGCTCATTTCAGTATGAAATAAAATAAGTCAAAACATTTTCTGTGTTCAAGTCTATAAGTATATAATAATTGTTCCCTGGTATCATTAAAGTGGAGAGAAGATCAGCGTCATTGGTGGTGGGACTAGCAAGTATTATTATTATTCTTAACAAGATTGACTTTTGGTTTTTTAGTTTTTCTTTTTTCTTTTTTTTAGCAAGTTTAAAGTGTTACTAAACCCCGGTCCCTGCATTCACTATATCCACAGTACACAGAACATGGAAGTGCAATTATTTTAATAAATTTAAAATGCTAAATACCTTTTTTCATCGGCAGATAGAGCAGTCTTGTGACTTCTATCAGTGTCCAGCATAGCACATGTTAAAGCTTGTAGGAGTTTTCACTTTGCTCTAGGAGGATGCAGTACCCCTGACCTCTGTCTGGACAGTGCTGATTGGCCCTGTGCTGATCACATGCATTATCCCAAGAACCCCCCCCCCCCTAAAAAAAAAAAAACCTCCCTAGCAATACACATCAAACTGAGCATGTGCAGAGTGACTCCACATGATATGTCTTATCAGGAGATAAGAGGGGGGCATTGGAAGAAGGGAAGGATCAGAGAAGTCAGGATCAACAGCGTTTTTACACAATGCAGTGGATTAACCCCTTAGGTTCCACAGTGAGTATAACAAGCATGATTTACTGCATATACAGACTGATTTCACTGTTGTGGGTTTAGTAACACTTTAAGTCTCTTTAAAAATGTAAAACAATTGTACATAAAACACATGTGCATTTCTGGTATTTGGAAGCATAATTATCATATTATCTGTGCCATCACATATGTTTTTGTAACACACTATCTTTTAGGTTAATAGGATTTTTGTTGTTCTTTGAAAGATTATGTCCATTTTTGGGGTTCATAGCTAAGAAGACAAACAAGAGGGAGCAGTTAATCAAGACTAGGAATAAGTAGAGTTCAGGTAGATTCAGGTGCAAATTCAGGCTCATTGACTTCTGTGGGAACCACTTCTGAATCACATGTCATCAGTTGTGAACAGGATAAAATCCTGACCTGGTTCTAATCTAAACCTATTCTGAACATGATCTAAACCTGACCTAAACTGCTGAACAACTACTTTGTCAATTAGCTGTGAAAATGCAGCTTCAAATCACACTGCACATGTGTGAATCCACACTTTCTGTGCTACTCCTTTTTTCCCTTTATTTAGAGGTTTGTTTTTGGAGCATTTATTCAGGAGTTGATTCCTTAATTTTCTTTCAGTGTCCTTTTTACTTTTGTTGTTTCCTTTTTTTTCTTATTTGTCTACTGTTGCTTTTAACTTTTACTTTTACATCTTTGAAAATTAAATAAAATAATGAGACTAGTAAGGGGATATTTATTTTGTGAAAAAACAGCTTTGGGGTTGCCAAAAAGGAGCTTCTGTATCCCTCAGGAGATAATTAAAGTGGTAGTAAATTCAGTTTTGTGATTTTCAATTACAGGTAAACTTATAATAAATAATAATAAAGGTAAAATGAATGTCTCCTAAGTGTGTACCGTTTAGGAGATATTCCATCAAGCAGCAACCAGTGATGTCATTGGTGCATGCGCTCTGAAAGAATGGCATACCCATGCTGTTCCTTCAGAGCTCTGTGCCATGTCCAGGGCTCCCATGTGCATGCGTGGGAGTGACGTAGCCTCCCTAGCGGTCTGATTATGTCAGTATTTCTGTGCTCAAAGCAGTACTTTTTTTGCATGGAAATATGTAGTTTTTTTATTGTAGGCCTGTAATTTGTAGGAATAACTCACTAAAATCTGTCCGAACAAGAGTCTAGTAAATTTGAAACAAGAAATCTTAAATTATAATTTAATAAATCATTTAATAATCATAAAAATTATAATATAATAATAATACATTTAATTCAATAATATAATCAAACCAAAAACACTGAAATTTGAAATAGAGCGCCAAGTTCGCACATCACTGAGCTCAGTCGCAGAATCGTTTTCAGTGTCTGATGACGAATTTCCCCACGAATCACTATCGCTCAATTCTGCAAGTAGTTCTAATTTACTATCACTGTTCTCTAGCTGGTCTAAAACCGCTTTTGACCTAAAGGGACGCTTTTTGAACGCCATGGACATTTCTCAGTTTCCAGGCAGAAAGAACGGTAAAAATGTAGGCAGGGCACAGGACAAAGCAGTAGGGACAAAATGTATGTGAAATGGTTTGATACAGTAATGTTTTACTATGTGATTTTAGTGTATTTAGTGAATGTTTAGGAGCTTTAGGAGCTCCTGCGCTCCTAGCCCCAATCCGCTGCCATCCGGGCCGCAGCGGAACCCAGCGGGGCCCCTAAGACACTCCCGGCCCAGCCTGACCACCAGGGACCACTTCTGGACCTTTTCCCGGAGCCCCGGAAATCGCGGCCTACCCGCGCACCCGAAGCCGCGGCCTCGATTTTGGCCGCGGCCGAGCCGCGATCGGACCGGATCGCCGGACATCTACCCGGACCGTCACCGCTCTGCCCACCGGGTCCCGCCGACCTGCCTGCCTGCCCAGGGCCCTCCCCATCAGCCCTGGGTCCTCGCTGATCACCCTGGACCACCAGGAACCGGCACGGCCTCACGGTCTCCCTGGAGCCCTCCCTAGCTCTGGGACCACCCCAGACCACCCGGCACCCAGCCGCCACCTCGGGGCACCCAGCTGCTCGCACCCGGCGACCCTGCCTGGGAACTGCTTCAGGCCTCCCAGCACCCTGCGGGCCACCCTGCACCAGCCAGCCCCAGACCAGGAACCTTTCCAGGACAACGCCGCACCTCCGCTACCTGCATCGAGGGGATTCCGTAAAACCATGGGTCTTTAATGCCGTTCCAGATATTGCAATGCATTGTTGATGAGGATTCTCCCGTCCTTCCCATCTCTTGGCCTTTGCTTGGCAACTCGAAGTCCAAGCTCCCAGCTAACACCCCTGGACACCCAGCACCCAGCTACCGGGTACCCAGCTACCACCCCTGGACACCCAGCACCCAGCTACCGGGCACCCAGCTACCACCTCTGGTCACCCAACACCCGGACCACCCAGCGAATCGAGACGTCGCCCAGCGAATCGAGACGTCGCCCAGCGAATCGAGACGTCGCCCAGCGAATCTCCCACCGGACCACCCAGCGAATCTCCAGTCACCGAGCCGCCAGCATCACCAGACGCCTTGCCTGCCAACGCCCCCCAACATCGCACCCTACGTCCCCTCCACTCGCCGATCCACCAGACCCACTGAAGCCCCCTCGGACGCCAGCATACTGCACCCACAGATTGCAGCCAGCCAGCTGCTGGACTCTACTCCCACTCTCCCCCTACAGAAGGACTCTAGTGGACTCCTCCACGGTGATATAGACTCTCCACATCACCTCGCCCTGACCCGTATCCCTTCACCCCCTGTCCCGAACAGCACTGCACTCACCCCAGCATGCCACCTGCACTTCTTCTCCTCGTTTTCCTCTCCTCCATCCCAAAAATCGCCTCCCTCTACCCGCCCACCCCCCCCAAAACAGCTCTACATTGCCCCTTCACTTCTGCCCTCTCCCCACTACGGCACTCACCACCTCCTCCTGGTACTCCACTCCCCGGTCAACCCACGTGCCACCACTACCAGACCCACACGCTCCTGCACCTCCCATTCCCATGCCACCCTCCTCACCCTTCTCCTTCTCCTATCCGCTGGGGACATCTCCCTGAACCCTGGCCCCTCACCACCTCTCCCCCCCCCCAGGGACCCCCCTGCTCCCGCCAGCCGCCGCAACCCCCTCAACCTCATACCTGTGCACCTCCTCCCCACATCCATCCCCCCTCTCTCGGTTGCACTTCTGAACGCCCGCTCGGTTTGCAACAAACTAACTGCCATCCATGACCTCTTTATCTCCCGCTCCCTCAACCTCCTAGCCATCACCGAAACCTGGGTACAGGCCACCGACTCTACCTCCCCTGCGGCACTCTCTCATGGAGGTCTCATCTGGTCCCATTCACCAAGACTGGGCGGTCACAAAGGTGGTGGTGTCGGCCTGCTCCTATCACCGCTGAGCACCTTCCAGGTCCTCCCTAACCCCCCCTCCCTAACCTTCTCCTCCTTCGAGACTCACTGCATCCGGCTCTTCTCACCCACCCCCTTAAGGATCGCAGTGATCTACAGGCCCCCCGGATCCATAGCCCGCTTCCTGGATGACTTCGCCGCCTGGCTTCCCTTCTTCCTCTCCTCTGAGCTACCGACCATCATCCTCGGGGACTTCAACATCCCCATCAACGACCACACCCCAGCTACCTCTCAACTCC